GACTTCCAACGATGGTAGGGCAGATATATGAGTCCCCACAATTAGATGTGACAGGAGGGTAAGTTCTGTTCCTGTGGCCATTTAAAAAGGGATCGCCTCCACGCAGCCTTCTTGCTGCGGGCTGGTATCTCTCAGCAGAAAGAGAATGGAGGTGTATATTCCAGAGTCTGGGATGGGGGTGCAAGTATAGGCATTGTCTATCACAGGAGCAGCAGTCAGGAATTTCTCATAGGGAGAATCTCTGAGTCACTGTCCATCCCCCCACCAAAGGATCCTGCAAAAGAACTATCCCGTTTTGTTTATTTATTTATTTTTATCCTCACTGGAGGACATTTTTCGTTCAGATAGAGTGGGGGAGAGAGAGAAACATCAACATGAAAGGGACACACCAAGTGGCTGCCACCCGCACGACCCAACTAGGGCTGGGGACACACTGCAACCGAGGTATGTGCCCTTAGTGGGAACCGAACCCAGGTCTCTCTGGACCACGGGCCGACGCTCTAACCACTGAGCCAAACCAGCCAGGGCGAACTATCCCATTTTGAATACCAATCCCAGAGAGGCCAAACTGGATTACCAAAGGCCCGGTTCCTTCCAGTTTTCATCTAGAGGGGAAATGAAGTCAACTCCACCCTCTCCCCACCCTAGCCTAAGCAGTGTCAAGCTGGGAGAGGAAAGAAGCTTTAATGTTAAGTGTACTTCTGAGTCTTGAATATTAAATTGGACTGTGATAAAGAAAAATTGGTTCAAACCTGGGACAGAATCTCCTTCTAGGAAGAAAAATGCTTTCCTGATAAAAATGCTTATGCAATTTTCTGATAAATTATAATAAGATTAAAGCCTCTTCTGGGAAACCGGCTTACTTCCTCAGCTGACTAACAATCTGGTGTCTAATGATCTTGAATCCAGTTTAGTAATAATTATCTAACCATTTCTTTTCCTATAAAGTATTCCTTCCACATGGAAAACATTGAATTGGTTTGTTTAGTCCTCTTCATTTATGGACATTAACGATTTGTATCCTGTTGAGTCTTGCTCTTTCCACAAAATTAATAGTTACAAAAATATTTCAGAGGTAGCCCTGGCTGGTGTGACCCAGTGGTTAGAGCATCAGCCCGAGCACTGAAGGGTTGTAGGTTTGATTCCGGGTCAAGGGCACATACCTGGGTTGCAGGTTCAATCCCCACCCCTCCAGGTCACGTGGGAGGCAACTAATCAATCTGTCTTTCTCACATTGATGTTTCACTCCTCTCTCTCTCTCTTCCCCTCCCTCCTTCCCTTCCACTCTCTCTTGTTGTAGACCAACGAGACAGACCAGACTCAGACTCTGAACTGGGTTCAAATTAAGAGAGTTTTATTAGCCGCATGGCCACTGTCCCATCCTACTCAGAGAGAACAGCCCCGAGCTCAGGGGGTGGGTTGCTTATATAGTTGTTTTAGCCCCTGTTAAGGAACTTGGGTTAAGGGTATGCGAGCAAGCAAGCACATACAGAAGCAGATATTTGCAGTTAGATGTTATGCCTGAGGGAACAATCAGTTTCTTTGTACACAAAGCAACGGTTATCTATACAATGCAGTGGTTATCTATTAGCAGATAGTTCTTGCCATTCCCTTAAAATCCAGGGGGCAAGGTCATGTGTTTGTCCTTTACACACTAAAAGTCAATGGAAAAAATATCCTTGGGTGAAGATTAACAAAAAACATATATATTTCAGGGGTAGAAATATGTTGATAGATAAAGGAACTTTGGTTGTCCCTGAAATCAATTATATTTTATTATCAAATTTCTGAGATATCCCTTTAGGAATCATTCCCAACTGACCCTTTGTTAGAGATTTACAGGTGGTACCTCCTCAGTTCCAATGTCATTTGGACAGAGACTACATGTCTGTACCTATTTCACAGGTACTGGGACCTGGCCATTTTTTGCATCTATATTATATAGTCAAGATTTTATCTTCTATGTATTACCTTCAACATGATCCTATGTCACACACAAACTGTTTTAAGGATTCAGGAAGGGGATGATTCGACTAGGTTTTCATTTCAACCAGCAGTAACACAAAGTCTAGTTATTCCAAAGCTGTTGCTTAGGTTATAACATGGAAACTTTATTATCTAATTTAATCTTGAATTGTAGATGAAGAGCCTGCTTACATTTGTTTGCATCAGAAGTAAATAATCATACTCACACAGTTTCAGTAGTGGTATATTTAAATTAGCACAGCCCTTGGAAAAACAATTTGGCCTTATATATCAAGAACAATACAAGTTGCTTGGCCTGTGTGGCTCAGTGGTTGAGTGTAGACCCAGGCACCAAGGGATCATTGGTTCGATTCCTGGTCAGGACATATGCCCAGGTTGTGAGCCAAATCCCCAGTGGGCAGCATGCAGGAGGTGACCAATCAATGTTCTCTCTCATCAATGTTTCTATCTCTCTCCCTCTCCCTTCCTCTCTCTCTAAAATCAATAAATAATAATAATAATAAAGAACAATACATGCTTTATGGGGAGGCAAGATGAATATGAATATATCTGATTATTTGCTTCACAATATTTTTAGTGAAAAATTAGAAGCAACCTGAGTGTATAACAATAGGGACTACGTAGGTAAATTTATGGTTATACTCACTTAATGGAATATCATGAGGTCGGGTGGGGGGAGGTAGAAGAGGGTAAAGGGGGGATAAATGGTGTTGGAAGAGACTTGATTTATGGTGGTGAAAACACAATACAGTGTACAGATGATGTAATGCAGAATTGTATGCCTGAAACTTATATAATTTTCTTAACCAATGTTATCCCAGTAAATTCAATAAAACTTGAATACAATGAAACTACTATAATATTCATTGGCAAGACTATAACATGGAAAAAGAAAGAATAAAAATTAAATTTATGCTATGATTTTAACTACTTAAATATATATGAAGAGAATACTAAAAATGAAAAAGGTTGTTAGAGTTATATTTTTCCCTTGTATTAAAAAAATTTCTCTAATTATACATAGATGTTTCTGTTATTTAAAATTAGCTTAAGTATTAGTAATATTTGCTTAAATTTTTAAAAGCCTTAAAATCACATATTGTTGGCAATTCATGCTTAAATAGTACATAAAAATTTCTGTTTGCTAATGTACTGCTATTGGCAGACAGTACATTTTTTTAGCGAAGTAAATGTCAGTTGTTGCTACAGCACTTCTAAAATTACAATAAAGCTACATAATAATTAACAAGGGTACTCAGGTAAATGTGGAGAAGTCAAAGATTGATTAAGAAAAAGAAAATGTCAACCTTCCCGTCAGTGACAGAATTAGTGAAAGTGACAGGACCTCAATCCAGTTTGAGATCTTGCTTCTTGGAAGACACAGTGCTAGTGGGAAAGACACCAAATAATTAGGATGAAATCCGGTAAATACTTGCACAGGCCACTGAGCAAGATAGGGGAAGATTTGGGAATAGGAGGAGATAGTCTAGATAAAGTAGATCCAGGAGCAAATATTTTTATAGAATAAGGTCAAGGTGTATTCAGAGAGCAGAATAATTAAAAGTGTCTTGACGATAGGTTACTTATAACCTACAGGATGGGGATAAGCAGGTAATCAGAGGTTAGTGCAGGCTGAAGCCTTTGATTTTATTTGGAAGGCAGTGCAGAGAGACCCTGAAGATACATTACTGAAAAAAAGATGTAAGATCTATGTCGATTCTAAGAGTCTGTATGGAATGAACTGGAAGGGAGATGAAAGGAAGATAAAAATTGTGAGGTTTCTGTAATAAACCAGGAATCTCATTACATAAAATTATCTAAATTAGCACTTCCAGAATATATTTTACTTTAAAATGATTTAACGACATTCTAACCAAGTTTTAGATGACTTTTGGTGTTTTCTAATAGAACTGGCACATAATATTGAATCAGATTGCAGAGGATTATTTTAATTCTATGGCCAGATGCAGAGACATATGCAAAGGTACTGAAGCCAACAAAAACGTTGAGACATGCAAATTTTCACGAGTAAAAGGATTTGGAATGTTAGAAGGTAGCAGATTATCACTAGCTGTATCCAGATTCTTTGGAGTGGTGGGTTGCTTTAAATTAAAACTTTGTGTAAAATTTTCTAAGCATAAACTGCTTTAACCTTCTAGGCAATTGGGATGCTGCTGAACAATAATCAAATCTATAAAAATGTTGTAATAGTGAACAGGGGATACATTATTTTTTGTTTCCACTAGCATGAAAGGGTTCAGGTTTTAAAAGTGTCTTGTCCTAGCATACACCAGAATCCACGTAGAATACAGATTCAGGTCCACAGACTTTCTGACTCAACAGAAAAAAACGTAGAGATAATGCAGACATCACTTCAAGAATCCTCTCAGCCTCGGCCTATCAGATTTGATCCCTTGGTCAGAGCACATACAAGAATCAACCAATGAATGTATGAATAAGTGGACCAACAAATTGATGTTTCTCTCTCTAAAAATCAATAAATAGAATTGAAAAGAAAAATAAAGAAAGAACTGCGCCCCAGGTTGTGGCTCAGTTGTGCAGAAAGGTTGTGGGTTCCATTCCTGGCTGCAGGCTCCATCCGGCTGTGACAGGACACGATGGATGTCTCTCTCCCACATCAATGTTTCTCCCTCTTCCGCCCACTCTCTAAGCAGGTCCCCGGGTGAAGATTAAATAGTGATAATTTGAAAAAAGAAGGACTTGGCAGTCACGTAAACATTTCATAAAAACACTAACCAAATACTGCCCACCACCAAGCACTGGTTTTGGGTACGACGTGCTGACCTGCGGGCGCAGCCGGCGCGGACACAGGAGGCGGCGCGCAGTCGGGCAGCGGCCGCTCACCCCGCCCCCACCCGGGGCAGCGCGGGCCTCTTCCCCGTCCCCGCAGCCCTCGCTCCCGCTCCGCCGCCTCATTTGCCACCTCCCAGCGCGTGACCGCGGCGCGCTCGCGTCCCGGGCCGGCGACAGGCGCGGGGTGCGCCCCGGGGCCCATGGGCCCCCTCCTCCTCGCCGCCGTCGCCGCCGCGCCCCGAGCCTCGCTGCGGCTCCTCGGCAGCGGGCTCGCCACCATGTCTACCGCAGGGCCCCTCAAATCCGTGGACTACGAGGTGTTCGGGAGAGTGCAGGGTACGGCACCCCGCTGCTGTGGGACCACGGGGTGTCAGGGGAAGAGGGGAGAAGACAGGGAGGGCCCCCGCATCTTAAGGACCCCATCCCCGGGGCCGGGACTTCCGCGGGCCCATGACTCAGCAGCCCCGAGGGCGGAATGGAGGCGAGAGGCGCATGCGCCGGACAGCTGGGTTGGGGGCGGGGGCGAGAGGAGACCGGGCTGGAGGGGGGAGGGGCCCAAGGAGCAAAGAGACACCCTGGGGCGCGGGCCGTGGGCTTACCGAGGGGCTGGCGAGGGGAGAAGTGACGTTGGGTGGGGAAAGGAGGGTCCTTGAACTAGTTACCCTGTTACTCACCACTGAAACTGCTGGGCTTGACCTGAGCTTCAGGAAAGACACCTAGGTGACGTTTGAGGGTTCACTTGGTCGGAGATTGCACTTTTTTAAAAACTGTAACTCTTCAAAGAATTATTAAATTGTTACCCAATTTTTGTTTCACCATAAGTTTAATTTTTTTCTTTATTGATTTGAGAGAGAGGAAGGGAGGGGGGGAGAGAGAGAAACATGGATGAGAGAGAATATTGATTGGCCGCCTCCTGCATGCCCCATACTGGGGATGGGACCCACAACCTGGGCATGTGCCCTGACTGGGAATTGAACCGGTTACCTTGTGGTGCATGGGTCAATGCTCAACCACTGAGCCACACTGGCTGGCCTAGTTTGAATACTTTAAAAGGGTGTATTTAATATTATGTGGATTCTATCTCAATTTTTTGAAATGTCATCAAAAAAAAGCAAAATACTTTCAGGTGCTGCTAGTGTAGCTGGTCCATGGACCACTCTGTGAGTAGGAAAGAGCTGGACCAGATGTTTGCAATTTCTGTTTACTGCAGGTCCATGCGCTTACTTTTCATGATGCAAACATAGGCAGAACTCAGAGGGGAACATGCACAATGCAGCCTTGACCAAAACCTTCAACTCTACTCGGGTCTTCTGGGATCTTCTCACTCCTAGGATAAATGACTGCACACTTGCTCACAGTTATGTCTGTTTTTCTCCCCTGTTTTGTCTTTATCCTACATGGTCTGGTTTAACTGAAAAGTTTCTTGAGTTTTCTGCCACTTTCTTTTGTATCTGCTAGCTACTGTCTTTCCCTCATCTATATAACAGACTGCCTTCTGAATCCCTTTCAGATCAGTACTTCCGCTCACCATTCTTCTACCTTTCACATGTAGCATTTAAAATATTTTTACAGCCCTACAACAATTCCATTTGTGATATTATCCTGTTTTTATTGCCACACTACTCTTTTTCTTCATATTCATGTTGTACCACAATCCACTATCATCAGGAAACAAATGATACCTCTTATTATTATACATCCGTTTACAAAATGACATAAAATTACCTAACCCTCTGATTCCTTCTCCTGTATTTTCTTAATCAGGTTCAATTGCTATATATTGAAGCAATATCTTTAGGCTGTTTCATTCCCTGTGATTTCCTGATATTTTTCTTCTAATTTTTAAAAAATGAAGTATTACTTAAATTCAGTAACATTCACCCTTGTTAGTGTAAAGCTTAATTAATGTGCTTTGAAAAGTGCATACAGTCATGTAAGCACCACTGCAGTTGAGACACAGAACAGTGTCCTCATACCCAGAAGTTCCCTGGTGTCCCTCACAGCACTCCTCTCTCCCCTCCCAGCCCTTGGCACCACTGATTAGTTTCCTGTCCCTGTAGTTTTGCTTTTTCCAAAACATGGAATTTGAATTAAAACAGAAATGTTTTATTACCTTTAAACTTTGATTTAGTCCTTGTGTTTCAAGAAGAAATTCTAAAAGCTGAGGATAGGTAATCTTTATGTCAAATACATACTCAACTGCCCTTGTAATAAGCATTTTATATTATTTAGCATTTTAAAATAGAATAAATATATAATTTGGCATTTTATTACACTTTGAATGAAATATTCAAATAAAATAAATATTCAGGTTACTAATTTTCCTCAAAAGTAATTGTCCCTTTCCCTTTTTATTTTAAAAGAAAATAATTTTTAAACACACTTTGAATATATTCAAAGTTTTGTTCATTTACTTATTCTTTAGTAAAATCGCCTGACTGGTGTGGCTCAGTGGTGGAGTGTGGACCCATGTACCAAGAGGTCCCGGTTTGATTCCTGGTCAGGTCACATGCCCAGGTTGTGGGCCAAATCCCCAGTGGGGGGCATGCAGGAGGCAGCCAGTGGATGTTCTCTCTCCTTGATGTTTCTATCTCTCTTCCTCTCTCTTCCTCTCTCTCTAAAAAAATCAATAAAGGGAAAAAAATAGCTGAAAGTTAAGTTAGGAAATACAGGGTATTCCCTCCAAAATGTATACAGGGTATCTGTAGATTCTACTACATTTTGAAAATGAAATGTATTTTAATAAACACTGGCTTTATAATTATTCAAAGTTGTAAATACATTTTTCTGGGACATCTTATATATAATTTTTTAAAGGTAGTAATCTGACTTTATTTTTCTTTTTCTTTTATACAGGTGTCTGCTTCAGAATGGTAAGTCAATACAAACTGTATGTTTTTTCCATATTTTCCTCCCACAGTTATTTCATATATATATATATAATTTATTTTTTAGAGAGAGAAGAAGGGGGAGAGACAGACAGACAGACAGACATTAATGTGAGAAAAACACTGGCCATTTGTCTCTTGAACAAACCCATGATCTGGGTATTTGCCCTGATTAGGAATCGAACCAGTGACCTTTCAGTGCAGGGACCATGCTCAGCCAACTGAGTCACCCTGGCCAGGGCTCCCACAGTTATTTCTAATCACAAAGATAGAGATGTTTTCTACTTATTACTGGTGTACTGCTTATTTCCCATCCTTGACAGCAAATAAAAATGTATTTCTATTTCTTCAAATACAAATTACTGGTTGAGATTTTTACTAGGGCTGTCTTTACAAAGTAAGACATTGCAGCCTTCTTAGCCTTTAGCTAATGTTTTCTATGAATTTCAAGATACCTCTCTTGAGGTGATCAAATTAAACATTTTAATTAGGCATATGAATTACAAAATATGGTATCTTCCACTATTCTGGATGGAAGAAACCCTCTACTCCCTGTTACCTTTAATATTTTTATTTTGTTAACATACTCCTTTCCTAAAGGTTAAATGTGACTTGTATTTTCATGTACTATCTGAGCTAACAGTCACTAGATTAGGTTTCTATTCCTAATCTCAGAGTGTTCTAACATGGTCCCACCTGTAAAGCCTCCACATTTTGAGATAGTTGCATTCTCCACAGTTCAGATCGTCGTCTTTTTCATCATTAACTATGAGAGCTTGACTTATTTCCAGAACCAGCTCATACATCAACGCCAGCTATAACTATCTCAGTTTGTGTGGCTCCATATTGTTTGGAACGTGGAGTAAAGAGAGATCTTGATCACCCTGGCTTCCAAACAGAAGAACATGTTTTTTAAAAGTTCTAGTAGACTGAGTCCACAGAGTTTTATTAATGATGTAGTTAAAATAACTCAAAATCAAAATGTTGCTAGGTTTTGCCCTGGCTGGTGCAACGGTTCAATTAAGGTTGGATGTTGTCCAGTGCACCAAAAGGTTACCAGTTCAATTCCTGGTCAGGGCACACGCCCAGGTTGTGGGCTTAATCTCCAGTAGGGGGCGTGCAGGGGGCAGCTGATGGATATTTTCCATGTTTTACTGTTCACATCAATGTTTTTGTCCCCTCCTTCTCTCTAAAAATCATTAATAAAAAATTTATTTTTTAAATGTTGCTAGGTTTTTATTTGCCAATAGCATAACTGAATTTGGAACCAGGAAAAGGAATAAACAAAACTATTAAGAACAATAAAAGAAATAAATTTACCCATAGAGAATTATGGCATTTGTGTTGCAAATCCAGAGCTAACAGAAAACAACAGAATATTTGATTCCAGTACTTTCTGTTGATCATAACTGGATATTTTTTCTCAGTGATTGAGAATTTCAGAGTGATCATCATTGGGAACCCACCTTAACAGTGTAATTTAGTGTTAGCTGATGTGCGGGCAATGCAGCTGAATTGTATGGATCCCAAAACACATCATGGAAACTGCTGCTTGAAGTAATTCCCACTATCAGTTTATTTTCTCATAGCATGCTTGTCTTTACCGAAAGTGGAATTTAACAAAAAATTCTGTGTAAGTGAAGGTTCTTGTAAATAGAGGTTTTACTGTAGGTTAGCTGCACAGTTTTTTGGCATAGACTATATTTTAGGGGGAAAATGATCAGCTTAGTACTGTTAGAATGTTAGAATCAAGTATGTTATAAATGCAGACGTGATGATGGACACTGTTTCCCTTGTTTTCTCCTGAAACTAGTACACAGAAGGTGAGGCTAAGAAAATAGGAGTGGTTGGCTGGGTGAAGAACACCAGCAAAGGCACTGTGACAGGCCAAGTGCAAGGCCCTGAGGAGAAAGTCAATTCCATGTGAGTAGCAAGACTAATAACACACTCATGCAATTTATGGACTTATTTTAATGTTTCATTGGATAATAGGAATAGTATCGATGTACCAAATTCAGTTTGTAGGTTGTAAGTAAACTAACATGCTTTCAGGCAGACCAGCAAAGGATTTCTCAGAATTGGGGGTGGAATGTCTACATTTAGGAATGGATTACCCATGTGGACAGGCCCTCAGAAAATCAGTGGCATCACTGTCCAATCTCCATGAATTGTGTTTTCATTCTCCCCTAACCTCGTAGAAACATCGAGAGTCCACAAGTCTCTTACCTGAAGTGGTTGTGACAAAAGCATACCTTAGGCTGGTTCTTGAAGTTCTAAAAGTAGCCTTCAAGGCAAAAAGATTGCCATCTCCTTTTTATGGTTTAAATATATTTTTCCTCTAATTGTAATTTAATTTTTACTGTCGGTAACAGTGTGTTTAATGAACTGTAAGGTTCCTGTACTGTGAGCTCTTGCACACCTCTGTCATTTTCAGCTTTGTAAATTTCACTGCTGTCTGTAGTCTTTTTTAAAAAATAAAAAATAGCTAACTTTTATTGAGCATATGCAACATGTTAGGCAATATGTTAAACACACTTCACATAGATTATTTTATGTAATCTTTACAAGGAACTTATCAGGTAGGTAGTAATTAATACCCAATTTTGTTTTATTTTATTGTTTGCAATTTCTCTTTGCGTTCAGATTTAAAAAGCAATACTTCTTTGTGTATTGTGATAAGTAAAGTAATGAGATGCAGAGAGGTATAAAAGCAAAGCAATTAATCTCCAGCTCCTCTACTTCCCTCCCATTATGTAACCTGTGCCAACTTTCTGAAGCTTTCTCTTTTATTTAAATGTATGTAAGCAGGCTGGGTGGTATGGCTCAGTGAACTGAGAATCGTCCAGTGGACTGTGAGGTCCTGATTCGATTCCTGGTCAGGGCACGTGCCCAGGTTGTGGGCTTGATCACCAGTTGGGGAGGGAGTGCAGGAGGCAGCCAATTGAGCAACCTCTCTCTTAAAAATCAATAAAAAAAATAAGTATTTAAGCGGAATTAGGGTTTTGCTTGTTTTTACTGAAATAGAATACTTTATGCATGTTTTTCTGTAACTAGTTTTGTCATTTGGACATTCAACAGTCAATAAATATATAACTACCAACTCCTTATTTTTTCTAATTTCTTTAGGTACTTGTGCTTATGTGTAAAACTGTACCCCAACTTGAAAAGTGGGGTCCAAAAATTCAATTTTATGTAATGTTAATGGATAACAATATTTTTCAGTAGGATTGTCACAACTTGCACAAAAGAAAAGATTACGAGACTTAAATTTACACAAGGAAATGCCAGATGACCAGGAGGGAGATTGAGAATGAGGACTCCGTGGAAGAGGGACAGTCATGCCCATCATGTCATGTCCTGACCCATGTAGTAGCAGGTTTTTGATTAATATCGGTGCAGTTATATCATACATTCTGCCCATTTTTTCTTTTCAACCCCTGCATACCCTTGTCCCCCCTCACACCACCAGTAACCTGTGTTAGCAACCTGGTGCATTTCCTTTTGTATTTGTCTCCATGTCCACCTTTTCACCACACACACACACACACACACACACACACACACGTTGTGGCACATACAGTTTTGTGATCAGTGTTTGCTTTTTTAAAATGGGGTTATGGTGTATCTGCATCTCCCTTTTATCACTCAAAAATACATCCAGAAAAATTCTTCCAAGTCCAGTGGTATAGCTCTAATTTATTCTTTTAAATTGCTGCTTAATATTCTACAGTAGAGATGCACCATTTTTTACTACCTTATTGTTGGGAACTCATTTTGTTTCCTAGTGGTTTTTGATGCTGTATTTATAACATTCCTTATTTACTCCATCTGGAATATGTTTTTTATTTTATAATATGAGATTGGGGACTGACTGTATTCTACCAGATGGATAGCCAGCTGTGCCAGCACCGCTTATTAAATTATCACTATTTCCCCATCGAACTGAAATACATGTTTGTCATAAATTAAAATCTTATATCAACTGAATTTTACTTCTGGATTTTCTGTTCTACTGATTGATCTACTTACATATGCCTAGACTCATGCTCCATATGATTTAATTTAAGTGGCTTTTTAGTATATTTTATTTCATTATTTTTTTTCATTCATTTATTTGTTTTACTGGGTATTTTCTCTCTAAACTTTAAGATATTTTTATCCATTTAATTGGAATATACATATATACATATATATGTATATATATATTTTGTATATTATATATATGTGTATATATATATTTGTAAGTATATATATATTTTAAAACTTACCTGATTGTCTTACATATATGCTTTTTATTTTAATCCTCACCCGAGGACATTTCTCCATTTTTTGTTCAGATAGAGTGGGAGGGAGAGAGAGGAAGAGAGAGAGAGAGAAACATCGACGTGAAAGGGACACATCGAGTGGCTGCCACCCGCACGACCAACCAGGGCTGGGGACAAACTGCAACGGAGGTATGTGCCCTTAGCAGGAACCGAACCCAGGTCTCTCTGGACCGCAGGCCGACGCTCTAACCACTGACCAAAACCGGCAGGGCCAAATATGCTTTTTAAAATAAACTTTATTTTTAGAAGTTTAGATTTACAGAAAAATTGTGAAGATGGTACAAAGAGTTTCCATATACTCTTCATCCAGTTTCCCTTAATAATATTTTACATTAATATGTTACAGTTAATGAACCCATTATGATTCATTAGTATTAATTGCAATCTATAGTTTATTCAGATTTCCTCAGCTTTTACCTAATGTTCCTTTTCTCTTTTAGGAACTCATATTTTACTTGTTTTTTAATTCTACATTTTTATGATATTAAGAGGCTTGATATTAAATCATCCCATCTAACAGTATGGATATCTTTTCATTTGCTCAGATTTCAAAATTTATCCTTCAGTATGATTTTATAGTTGTCATCATATGCTTTTCTTGCTGAGTTTATTCCTAAGTATGTCTTCGTCAGTTTGGGCAGCTATAACAAAGTACCATAGACTGGTGGTTCATAAACAACAGAAGTTTATTCATCATAGTTCTGGAGGCTAAAAGTCTGAGATCATGGTGCCAGCCTGGTCAGGTTCTGGTAAGAGCCCTCTGCTGAGTGGCCAACTGCCAGCATCTCACTGGATCCTTGCGTGGCAGAAAGAGAGCTGGTCATCTCTTTGGCCTCTTCTTATAAGGCACTAATCCCATTCATGAGGTTCTACTTTTATGAGATTACCTCCCAGAGACCCCATTCCCAAATACCATATTGGTGATTAGATATCAACATTTTTGGGGGATGCAGACATTCAGTCCATCACAATGTTTTATTGCTTTTTTACTATTGTGTGTGGAATATTTTTCCCATTTCTGTTTCTGGGTACTTATGCTAGAATAGCTTATAGTTGGGTTTTATTTTTTTATGCAGTCATATATAATCTTTATTTTTATATCAGAGCATTTAATCCATTTAAGCTTAATGGAGTTACTATTTAGAATTAAATTTGTATTTTATTATGTTCTTTCCACTTGGTTTATCAGTTTTATGTTCCTTTTTTTCTTTCTAGCCTTAATTTGGATTGACTATTTTTTATTATTCAGTCTTTTTTCTTTATTAGTTTAGAAGCTTTATGTTGTTTTGTTTCTTTTACTAGTGTTTTCCCTAGAGATACAACATGCAATCATAACTGATCAAAGTTTGATATTAATTTATGTCTACTTTCTTTTCAAACAATGAAAAATCTATAGCATCCTTTTTTATTTATTTTTTATTTATTTATTTTTTTTATCCTCACCCGAGGATATTTTTCCATTTTTTGTACAGATAGAGTGGGAGGGAGAGAGAGGAAGGGAGAGAGAGAGAGAAACATCGACGTGAAGGGACACATCGAGTGGCTGCCACCCGCACGACCAACCAGGGCCGGGGACAAACTGCAACTGAAGTACGTGCCCTTAGCGGGAACCGAACCCGGGTCTCTCCGGACCGCAGGCCGACGCTCTAACCGCTGAGCCAAACTGGCCAGGGCCATCCTTTTTTTATTTTATCCTCACCCAAGGGTATGTTTTTATTGATATTAGAGAGAAAGGAACGGAGAGAGAGAGCAAGAGAGAGAAACATCAGTCGGTTGCCTCCCGTACATGTCACGACGGGATCAGACCTGCAGCCTTTCTGGTGTACCAGATGACACTCCAACCAACTGAGTCACCTGGCCAGGGTTATAGCATCCTTTAAGTCCATTCATCTCCCTATTTATTTAGATGCTACAGTTGCATATTTTAATATGTATTTTAAACCTGAAAAGACATTAGTTGACTGTCAATTTTACATATTGCTTCTTTAAAGTAATTGAGCTGCATCTAAGATGGCAACAACAGTAAAATTGCCAGTTTACAATTTGCAGTAATAAATATAGCATTCAGCCTGTCAATGGGTTTAGGTTTATTCTCTCCAGTAGTGTTTAGTTCTCACAGTACAGATGCCAGGAAAGCACGAAGCGGGGTCCATCCAGGTCTGGTTATTGCCAACTACAAAGAGTGCAGGTGAGAGAACAGGGACTTGAGGGTATTTACAAGGGTGCGACTATAATGATGTATTTTCGAGTGTTGTTTGGACAAGAAGAGAAGTAAACTGGGAGTAAATTGTCGGGCAGTGAGAAATGGTTGCCTTCTTGGATTTTTGGGTCTAGAGATTTGTTGCAGGTCTCAGTACTGTTTCATTGCACAGCGCAGTCCTAGAGGCAGTGGGGTCAGTGCAGAATGGAAGGGCTGGAACGGCAGATACGAAACATCCCCGGTGTCTCCTGCCGCATTGAGGGTGAGAGTCCAGTGCAGACAGGCTCTTTCAGACATTTTCTCTCTATGTCCAGTGGGTCTGTAAGTGGACTTCATCGGAGCATTGCTAAGTAGGAATTCCTCCTGAAAGATACTGAATTTAAAAAATATATTTTTGT